CCCTTCTGTAAGGGCTCTGTAGTCACTACTTGTCATTATCACAGCACTAGAAGGAGCAGAAGTGCTGCCCTGGGTTTAAGTTAGAGCAGCCAGGGTGATCACCGTTGTGATATTGTTGTTTAAGAGGTCTGCAACATCCTCCTGAAAAGAGAAAGAACTAGGTGATTTGGATTCAAAAGAAACCCAAGGCCTAGAGAGAGACTCCAGTAGAGATGCTGTTTTTTCAATAACATTGGCAGTCTTCTGTTAAACCATTGAGTTTCCAGATCCACTGGTGCCAGTGACATCTGAATATGAAGTGACAACTCTGCCCTGAGAAATGTACAGGTCTGCTGGAACTGCTGGTCTTACCATGGGTAATGGACTGGCCAGCACATAGGTTCTTTCCCGGTTGCTACTGGCATCTCTGAAGAAGTCAACAAAACCTTTTCCAAGGCAAGGCAGAGAGGAGGTATATTTTAAATAGATGATGAACATCTCTCTTTAAATCTCTCCAAATTACTCTTGTCCACACAAAGCTTTGCTTCCTAAGCCACTTCTATCATTGAGTGTTGCAGAACTGCTTTTTTCTCTGTTGCATTTTCTTCTGCAAATAGTAGCCATGAGGTTCTCTGAAGCTGTTTCTGAATACAACGGTGCTTTAAAGTCAGGATTATCAGTTTTCTGGGATAATCTAAAGCAGCAACAATTGTAATCATCTCTCCAGGTGTTGGAGGGCAACTAGACCAAACAGTAGGGCATAACTTCTAACTTACCACTAAGCTGGTATGTACCAGCACAGGAGAGTTATGACAAGTTCCTGAATTTGTACTAATAAATCTCGTCTCCTTGCAGCAAACACAGCTTTTATCTCAAAAGGTAGGTTATAGTCTGCCTGTGATATAATCTGCCAAATTCCTCCACAGAAATCCATGATATATTACTTCTACTTATATAAAGCACAATGTCTACTTTTGAGGCATATTAAGTAGGTATGACTGAGGCAATGATCTATTACAATTTCTAATAAACAGAGAAGCCAGATATCCTCTTCCATCCTGCCAGACAAAGCCTGAGAAACCGCTCAGCAGATCTGGAACCAAATAAGTAGAAGATCAGCTCAAGGATCAAAAATCTCCTGCCAAATTTGTTGACCGTTTACTGGCTGAAGTTATTAAATTCTTTGTGCTGTGTGGGTGGGATTGGTAAATTAAAGGGATTATCCTGCAAATTCACTAACCACAGAATATTATTTGATCACTTCTCAGTACCTGTGACTCACGTCTCATGGAGTGGGGGTGGGACAGCAAGAACTGTGTTTGCATCTGAAATCGCAGAAAAAGCAGTATGATAAAGTATAACATGAGTATTCCCTATTTTACTGGGTTTTATGACTCTGGCATATATGTAACGCATTTCTTGTAAGTAACCAGGGTTTAATATTAATAAAGAATTGAAATTGTGACTAATTATGGCCCTAGGTGAGAAGTAGCTAAAATTGAAAACCTATCCGTTAACATGAGGTAGTGCAGTTTTATGGTTATTCGTAGACAGAAAGGAGCTCTCAAGGTTGTGTGTGAAACCTTGGTTGCTGTTATACTACTGATCAGTAAGCAGAATGTTTTCTTTCAAAGTGACAAGAAAGCAGAGGAAGCAATGCAGAAATGAAATGAAATCAAGAACTTAGAATTCTACTGAGGATCTAGCCCCTGATTAAAGGAACTCTGCTACACCTGTGCATAGATACGGTCAGTAACACTCCCAGAGAGACTCAGCCTATCTCTGAACAACCAAAGGGCTTGTTCCTCTTCTCTCAGGTATTGCTGCTTCTTCTATTTGATTCTCTCTTCTTAATAATTTAAGCCTTCGCTCTTCTCTATCTTCTGTTTTCCCCAATGTTGGACCAGACATGCTCAATTCTTTTTTTCCTTAAAATCCACTTGTGATGTTTGTCCTGACCTGGATCTCTGATGAGTATATATACATTTCTCTCGTAACCTTTATTCTCACCACTGGTCAAGGCAAACTATGTGCTGATGAAGTAAGAAGCAAAAGCAAGATCTGAAAGTTCATTTGAACAGGCTAGAGTGACTCAATTTCCTTTTGTACTCAAATGAGAAACTAACCTAAAATTTGTAACCTAGATTACAGAGTTGAGTGGTTGTTTTTTGGTTTCTTTTCTTTTAAACAGAAGAACATGAAGATGAAAAGTTAGCAAACTGAAGAGCTTCAACACAGAACCTTCAAGGACTCTTTCAAGGACAAAGTGACTCAGAGGTATGAAATATCAATTGAGATTGGACTCACCAAGGCAATAGAGTGCTCAAAGCTTTTAATCTCACAGCTCGATTCAGCTCTGTTTGCAGTGCCAGCTGTCACCTGGCAGCTGCTTCAGGAATGACATTTCTTCACATCTTTCAGCACCAATACTTGGTGGTTCAAGCTTTGTGGACAACTTCAGGTCCTGCAGACAGAGCACAAGGCTGTGGGCCTTTCCCTGCTTCACACAGAGGCTGTAGATGTGGTTTCATGATCCCTCTAACACATCGAAACCATCGGTGTCTGACACTCGGGCTCTTTCCTACCTTCCTGTGCATCTTCTGCAGAACCAGCTGATAGTGTTGCCATCCAAACACCATTGGCACCACCTCTGGCAGCAGCTTGTCCTTCTGTGGGATTAGGTGATGTTGGAACCACTCCTGGTGAGTACCATTATTCACGTAGCTGCTTTGCTTCAGCCCTCTGCCTGCTGGAGCAATTACACATTTCTCTTACTCCAAGCTCATGTGTATACACAGTGTCCAAAATGGGCATTTCTGCTTTTCAATGTCTCTAGAAGAGCCCTGACTCAATGCTTTCCACTTTTTAGTGATCTTTCTTTGGAGTTAACAGCCATGCCTGCAGTTCAGGCATAACCCTCAAGTGCTACTGGCCTCTGCATTTCTTTTTTTAACAGCAGGAACTCTTAAGTTGCTTTGCATATATGTCTGAATTTTATTTTGCTTGTAATATTTAAACAATAAATAATGTCCTCTGAATTCTTGAAGATCTAATGGCATGTTAAAGTGAAATCTTATGTTAACTCTTCTAAACACTTTGTTGTTCTGGTACGCTTAGCTTAGTTATTAAGTGTAAAACAAGTTCAGGAGGAAACTGCGTTTATAATGAAGAATCCTCTGCTCAGTTGCTTACTTCTTCATTTGATCAGTGGTATTTCTTTCTTGCTTAGTAGCAAAACTCAGTAACTCATAGTAGTTGCACAGCTGGGGAGGAGTAACTGCCCATCTGAGCTTTAAGATGGATCAAATTGTGGGCAGTAGTCCTGACGAGTGGGTCTGTCCTACATGTCCGAGCACAATGATGGTCTCTGACAGCTCAGCAGCTTTTCAACAGTTCTCTCTGGACAAACAAAATACTATTAGGTGTTGAACATATGTGATTGCTGTCACAGTGAAGTGAGTAAAAAAGGCCGTTGCCTTCCTGTATGTGGGCTGAGCAAACCCTCATCTGTTCTTGGCCAGACAGTAACACCAAAGGCTCTTTCTTTTTTTTACACTGCTTGTATATGCCATATGCTATGGATGCGTGAAACGGCAAAGAATGAGGAAGTCACAAAAAGAAGGGATTTTAAGGGAAAATGTAAGTATTTTAATTCTATAAAAAAAGTGGGAAAAAACCTCATAATCTATTTCTGAGTGATAGGAAGTGTCCACATCTGGGCTATAATTATGCTGTTTATAACAATTAAAGACTGTTCCTTCTCTAAATCCAGTTTAAAATATTAACAACATGCACTGGCCATGAGTTTCTGTCAAGAACAGAAAGTCATCTGGGAAAGCAAATTTCTCATGCCTTTCTCAGGAATGCTAGGCGGGTATACAATTTTAACCATTTAAATGCTTGTGTGATCATGTGTTTGAACAGAAAGGCTTATATCAGTCTTGGACACAACTCTCCAGAGGTCTTCTAAAGATGCTTTGCCTGATGCTTCATAAATAAGAAGTTTCTCTGAAAATGTTTGGCAGCTTCAGTCTATCATTCTACAGATGAGTGCAAGAGAATTAAGAATTGCCAATTTAAAACAAGTTTACTGATTCCATACTTCAAAGGAATCAGAAAAAGAGGACACTGCTTTTTTAAAAGTGACCATTTTTCAACTCCTACTTTGTTCTTTTGAAACTCTTTGTAAGGTAAAGACAGATCTCACTAGCAGAATATGCAGGTGCCCTGCATGATACCACAGAAGACTTGTACAGAAATCAGTTTGCAAGCTCAAACAACTGCACAGTCCAAGTTTAGCCTTAAGTCTAAATAAGAGTGCAGCTGTATGTGGCTATGTTCTACCACTACCAATAGCATTATACCTGCCAGAAGATTGTTAGCAAATTAATTTTTAGCTTTTTTTCAGTTTTCATTGTAGAGCAGGTGAAATTCTGTAGCAAAAGCACTTGGAGCTGAAGCAAGAAGAAATTGAATTTTCATCTGCAGATCCTTATTTTCAATGTGTTCTGTGCATCTAGAAACCAAAACTGTTGCTACCTTCTCAATGTCCTGCAGTTGTTCAGCAATATGCTAAAAAGATGGCTCAAGTGTCTTCGTAAAGTATCTACAGATTCTAAGTACAACCTCTCCATGTTTTAGTATTTTACCCACCTTCAATTTTAGCTTTATAACATGAATGCTGGTTAAAACGGTATAATTTGCAAACATATAGTGTCTTGGCTATTTCACATAGCTGAATCTAGAGATAAAAAAATGAAACAAAATAATCCTAGAATGCAGTTTAGTAAATTAAAACCTCAGAATTATATAAAACGTGGTTTTAAAACTGAAAGGTATGGGTTATTGCTGTCATACACAGTATAACAACAGTTATAAGGTTGTGTACTACATGGGATAACATAATTTCAAATTCAATTTAGTAAAATGTGCCTTCATGAGTCTGTGATGTTCCATAGTTAACAATTAAGGAAGCAACAAGTTCTCACTTTCAGTAACCTTTGAAAGAGTTGCCTGGGAGGATGCCTAACAGCAGCATAACCCATCAGAACCATTCCTTCAACAAGACGCTGCTGGACACCTCAGAGAGGCTCCGCACCATTCTATAGCCCTGTATATCATCAACCTGGCTGGCAGCACCCTCGGGGTCATCATGATGTCCCATCAGTTGTCTCAAAGAAGACCACAATCTGTCATGACCATCATCATTGTCAGCCTCCTGGTAATGCACACCTTCATGCTACTCAGCATCCCCTTCCGCCTCAGCTATTACATTTTACAGGAGTGGAAGTTTGGGAGGTTTGCCTGCAAGCTAACAAGTGCCATCATCTACCTCCACATGTACATCACCTTTGCATTTTACGTGGCGATCATTGTCATCCGTCTCTTCCGCCTCCAGTTTAGGAAATACTACACTATAGCCTGGGTGGGTGCCGTCTGGCTGGTGGGAGTGCTGGTGGTCGCACCCATTTTTCTCTTGTACTATGGCACCTCTAAGATGTACCACTCTTCTGAATGCTTTCAGTTCCACAAGGAGATGCAAGAGGTGCCCATTGTGATCGCAAAGTACTGCTTGGTTGGGATTTTGGTGGCAATTTGTGCTGTGCTCACCGTAACCCAGTTGTCTGTGATCTACAGGCTGGCCGTAAAATATTGGCCTGATGTTAACTCCTATACGGAGTTTAGGGCTCAGGCAAAGAGTTTCTTTTTCATCTTGGTAATGTTAGTGTGTTTTATTCCTTATCATGTATTCAGAATATATTATATCCAAACCTGCCACATGGATGAAGGCCAGAAACTACTCAAATACAATGAAATTTTTCTGGCTTTAACAACAATGTGCTGCTTGGATATGTTGTGCTTCATAGCAGGAATAGCCCATTGAAATGTGAACTACCAGGAAATCCAGCTGCAGTGTGTCAATACTGGCTTTTGGCAGAAATAAAACTGTGTTGGGATTCTGCTAAGATAAGGAGACTGCAGAGTTTTCAGCATGGCTGTACAGGTCTGTGATGTTGTTTGGCTTTTGCAGACCAGCAAGATCTATCTTTGAAGCACTACTGGTTTTTATCTTCTCTCTTGAAAGCAGACACGTGTCTTTCTCCAGTTTGTGATCTAAGAAGCTTCATTAAGATTTTCCTCAGCTGTCCCTCTTTAACAACTACAGCCAGAGTATCCACTCCTTTCTATTATTTTCCTCAAAGAGCCTCAGTAACAACAACTTGCTGTGGCCAGTAAGTTATCCATTCTGAAGGTCTAACAACAACTTCTGGCAATTGTGATACTGAAGCGAAGATGGGAAAAAAAGAAATTCCTGGACAGGATTTTTTTTGCTAGTGATTTTAGATAGCAAGGACATAAACTTCATTCAAATGAAAAGTATTCAACACATGAAACAGGGGATGAGTGAAATATTATAGTAGCATATTTCAGCAGAATCCTTCTCAATTTATACAAAGCATATAGTAGATTAAACTATATGAAAACTTTTATTATTCCTACAACTTCACCTTAACTTGCTTTATTCTAAAACCACAGGCAGCTCACTAAATTGTGGTAATAAAACATTTAGAGGGAGTGGAACTGGCCGTAGGTTTCAAAACTTCTTAATGTCACTCTGCCATCAGGACCAAATCTGTGGCTGTTATCCCTCGTAGCCCAAGAAATACACGTTACTATAGTCCCGTAACTGGATCTGGAATTCAAATTGAGGAGTCTAGTCCTTTACCGACAGATCAGCCACTCTCTAGGAGAAGGAAATATTTTATCAGCCTTCAGAACAACTTCGATGTCTGGTCACTCTCAGTTGACTGTTGATTTATTATCAGATGCCTTAGTTTTTCCATTTGCACATGTAGCAAAGCAAAACTAGAATAAACTAACTGAACTGTGTTTAATCAGTTCAACATATGCTTGTGTATGTGTATACAAACTTGTGCTGGAGTATATATTTTCTCCATTAGACAGAATATATTGTCTGGGAACAACATCCATTCCGGGAATTTCTGGTTTATGTTCATTATATAAAAGGTTCATTTCGTTATTGCATTCTGCCTTCTCTGCTCAGTGCAGAAGGTCTCTAACCCTTCTGCCAAAGGCTTCAGCGTCATTCACTGCATCCCAACAGCTTGAGGCCAGATTTCTCCTGCCTCAGACTCCCAGGAGTCACACAAAGGTATGCTTCCTTCTTTACAGCCCCATAAATTTCTATAATTTTTAATCTGGGAATCTTTGCTACAGTAGTGCAAATCCCTGGATTCAACAGCCCAAAACTTGTGCTAGTGATGTCTCAGACTCATGGCATTTCTTTGAACAGAAGAGCTTACACCTACTTTGTCAATCCTGAATCAGTGGTTTTGCCTTTATATTTCCATAAAAAAAACTTTCTTGAAAACACCTGATGATTCTGCCTCCAGAAGACCCGCAGCAGGTCCTGAAGTCTTCTGAAAATCCCTCCGTTATGGCTTCCTTATCATTCCTTATAGCTTGCACAGCATCAAGGCTCTTTCCCACTTTTTGCCCTCCTACCTGTGGAAGATGAGTGGTTTGCTGCTCATTCTTTGCTTTTCACTCTTTCTTTCACCTGCTAAACTCTCTGAGTCTCAACTTTGCTTTTGTTCTTCCACTCTCTGCCCTATCCTGCTTTAGTAGAGGGACTGGGAGAGCAGTTTGTGGGTGCTCAGCTGCTGGCTGGGGTCAGCCTGTCACACATCCCTTGTCCATGAGACCGCTGTCCTGCCACTGCCAGAAAACAGGATGTAGCTAAAATTTCTGTCTGTGGTGCTTCTTCCTTGCAGCCACAGCCAAGCAACCTTTGTTATTAACCACTGCAATGAGAGAAAGTATGAAAATGAAGGCCAACTTATGCTTTTGCTTCTTCTCACAGCTATTGAAAACTACAACAGTTTTTGCATCAAGAGTTCAGGCAGAACTTCATTCTAGTGCTTGCGGTATCACATAGATCATATCTTGTCCTCATTTCTTCTTCCACCTAACAGTCACTGTCTTTAACCATACCAATGAGCCACATTCCTCTTGGCCTTCACCACCAGTCAATCTTTCCTGCATTTTAATTTGAGCTCCTCTTTCTTTTTATGCTTGACCATTTTCTCTGTACCTTCTCTCGCTGACTGGGGATCAGTTGTATGAGGCCAAACCACTCACTGTCTCACATGGTCCTTTTAATCCAGAGGATAATGGGTTGAGCATTGATCTAAGCCTTGTTATATCTAAGGCTCACATTAAAGTGATAAACCGTGTTTAACACTCCATCTCCTGCTGAGGTCTGAAAGCACTCTAAGAACTGGTTAATATAGAAAGTTATCACTCTCCTAGAGGATTCTCTGAGAAGTAAGTTCTGAATGGGCAATAATACTGAGCTCAAATCTTGGATACTACTCTTGCTATGAATTATATAATGACACATCCCCTGGAAAACAGTTTAAAATGGTTGGTTTGAATGCTATTTGTACGATCCAAGTAATTCTGGAGATAATTATAGACATTACTAATTCCTTTCATGTCAACTGATTATGTGAAATTGTAAACCATTTAGTCATCCCATTCATTTTTAATGTCATCAAATGAACATTGGGAAAGTCCCTAAACGTTCTGGAGGAAAGAATATCAAGTCGCTAAATGTATCTTCTGTTGTTCTCTGCATGAATTTCTGCATAAAAAGAGCAGGCAAAAAAAAACAAAACCAAAATCCCATTTGTACACCTGACTTCCTAAGCCAGTTTGATAATGGAAAACGGAGCAAGAGGGTTCTTACCAGAAACTAGAGTACTCGCTGCTGTCACAGCTACAGTGCTACTATAGGGGACCTGTTTCTACCTAACTCCCTTTTTTGTCTCACTCTCCATTCCTTTTTTTTTCCTTCTCTACGTAAGCACTGCCCTTCTGAGCACAACAGATTTTGGTGGGGAGAAAGAAAGGCTGATCAAGTGATTCTGTCTGCCTCAGGCAGCTTGAGGTGCCCAGCCCATACAGAGCAGGAAGGCCATTGCAGGAAGGTCATTGCAATTTGGAATCTTCATTCTCCTGTCTGCAATAGCGGAGGATCATTTCCTTTGCATTTACAGAAGCAGGAACAAAAGAAAAAGATCTGTAAGAAGGGAGAATGGTGCAGGGATGGCAGAGTGTGTGCAGGATATGGACAGACCAACTTTGTCTCCAAGCGTAATGAAACTGTCCACCTACTCTGCCTAGAATTCAGGGTTAAAACTGTAATCCGTCTTGTATTTTCACTCTTTGAGCCTGAATCCCTTGTTCTGGCTATTCAGATACCCTGAGTTTCAAGGTGACTCTTTTCAGTGAAGGGATCCACTTTGGGGTTTTGTTTGCCACCATAAGCCACAGAGCATCTATCTGCCACTCAGAGTAGAACCACATATGGGTAAACTTCTAAAAGGAGTTTTGTGTTGAAAATTACTTTTCCTGTAAGCCCATGGATGAAAACATCACAGAAAAGCTACAGGAGGGCAACATTTCTAGCAGAGAATAAATATCAGACAAAAAGAAACCCACAGAAACAGTAAAAGAAGAATTTTAAAAAGAACAAAGCTACAAATGGCCAGAAGAAGAGGGGAAGGTTGCACACCAGGTATTTTCTTTCCACCAGGGAAAGATGCAATGATGGTTCTAAGTGCTCTGCCTCAAGAGTTAACAAGAAAGTAGCTGCCTACTTTTTCGACCTGGCAAGCAAGGAGGAAGATGAATGTTTCAGAGGAAAGAAGGCTGCAGGAGACAGACTAGAAGACCTCTGCCTTGCCTGCCAATTCTTTCATTTGTGATTCCTCCTGAATTTTTGAGAAGGCTGATTTCTGTTACCCAAGACATGCTATCGATGCATAAAATACAGTGTAGGTTCCAATACTCCATGGCAATAAATTGCATTAATTTGTCGAATGAGAAGATAAAAAGCCCAATCACAGAATCACAGAATCACAGAATCA